TGGTTTTTACACCCAGTTTACAGAGCTAGTCTTGCATCAAAGTCCCGGACTATGCCTGGAGCAGGGATTGACGCTCTTGGAAGTAAGTGACACACCATGACTTTGAACATAATGCGCTATGATGCTTTAAAATAATTTGAATTTTCCCTCCCTCCCAACTAAGTAAGTGTACTTATAAATGTCTCGCCCGTATAGGATCGAGCCTCTCTACAAAACGATCCACTCTTGGCTTTAATCCTAACTTGATCGAAAGAAATCTCGCAGGCATTGAACTCCAGTAAAATTAAATTTCTTTCGTTGAGCGTGTCAAATAAATTTATTGAAAAGAGTATAAAATATTAGACTGATATTTCACTCTTCCTATTAGCATGTTCCCCTAAAGTTAACATGATGTGTACTATTTTGTATGAAGCAGATTTTCTAAGTTTACTGTACGTAAAAAAAAAAAAATTGTATCCTTTTTAACTTAGACTTCTTGTTTAGCCGCTAAATTCTCACTTCTCTACAAAGAAGAATAATATTATGCGTGTATCACGGTCAAGTGAACAATATTCGACGTCAAAAAAAATGAATCTCAGAATTTATTATGAGGCAAAGCCTCAACCTAGTATCACTAGAATTTTTTTTGATTATTTATTTATTCTCCACAATCAATGTTTACAATGAAGTGTTTTAATTGAGTAACTATGTAATAAGTATTGAATGAAATGATTGCCTCGCGCTGGCTTTGTTCGCAGTTTTTCTTTCGCGTGTGTTGAGAAATAGAGAGGTTCTGTACGCTTTACATTTTCGGAGCTTCGGCTTTATTGTGATGAGACGTGCTTCGTATCGTACCGTGCGTACTCTCGCGAGTAGTGTGTACTGGAATTGCTGTTTATTGGCTATCAGTTTGCGAGCCGCAGTTTTTCCACAGCTTTTTGGAGTTGTCATAAACTTTCACAAGTGTTTCTATAACTCGATAGAAACACGGAGAACATGTAGRAGCGTACTTTGTACTACCAATATTTAGTATAAAATAAGTTGCATCTTTGTATCTCAGTTGTAGTTTGATCCTGACGAAATCTCAACAGCAGACGAAACCGGTCGATTAATAAACTCAGTTATACAAAATCATTAGTTGTTTATGCGTGTTGCCCACAAGTATTCTTACTTTAAAAAAGATATATAAACAATTGTAGTCTAATAAACCGGAGATGAACGTGGGCCTGATGGGCCACCATGTTTGCAGGGAGACTTTCCAGAATCTCTAAAGCAAACATGCTAAGCTCTAGGGATTTGAATTTAACCCAGCTAGTTATTGTAGAGTGTTCTTCGGTGTCGGAGTTTATTAATCTGCATTTGGTCATTATCGTCTCAATGCAACGACAATTGAAAGCGTAGAACAAAACCGCTTTTCGCTTTCTTACAAGAAAGCTAAGTTTTGCGCCAAATTGTTACGGAAACCGCTGCTGGGGTTGAGAGAGTGAATAAAAAGGCAAAAGTACCTTTTTCGTAGTAATAATGAAGGCAGATATATGTCGGTTGTTAATGATAAAGAACTAGAGGATAGAAATGATTCTGATATTTCTA